TTTTTACGAAGCAGCTTTCGAGCAGCTGGCCAGCAGCCAGGGATTTAAGGCCCCACACCTCTAAGTACACTCAACTGTATTTTCTGACTCGGTCGCAGCTGGCTGGCTATGTTACGCTGGCACTGCTGGGGAAGGTGAATTGAAAGAATTGAGCGTGTGTGAGTGCCTTGGAAGCGTGAGCCAGAAAGTGCCTCTTGTTTGCGCAGGAGGGAGACTTTCGAGCAGCTGGCCAGCAGCCAGGGATTTAAGGCCCCACACCTCTAAGTACACTCAACTGTATTTTCTGACTCGGTCGCAGCTGGCTGGCTATGTTACGCTGGCACTGCTGGGGAAGGTGAATTGAAAGAATTGAGCGTGTGTGAGTGCCTTGGAAGCGTGAGCCAGAAAGTGCCTCTTGTTTGCGCAGGAGGGAGAGCGGTCAGCGTCCGCTGGGCGGGGAGGAGACCGTGGGATCACTTCTGCGGGTAGCTCAAGGAGATTTTAATGTTAAAAATGGAAACAGCCAGCTGTATAACGTCTTTGATTTTGAGCGGGTGTTCATTTTAAATTACCTGCCACAAAAATGCTGCACAAATCCACCCAGTTTCTAAGGCAGCCAATATGATTTAATCCATAGGGAGAAGTTAAGTGAAATGCACAACAGCACTAAGACATGTTACTGAAGTCCATCCGTGACCCATGCATTAATTTCTAGAGAGCTTCATCCTCCAGGTCTGATCTGTGTATTATATGGAAAAGAATTCGTTATAAGATACACTGGAACATTTAAATAACTAAAAAAACCCCACCCAACCAAAGTATGTATAGCAAAGAAGGAAAGTTCAATCATTTCAGAAATTCTAGTCTTTTTTTTAAATAAAAAGGAGACAATAATAGTTGTTTTTCCTTATCTGTTAGCAGCTTTAACAGAAAAATCTTTCTTTCACTTTTTAAAAATAAAGATTCCCTAAATCATATTTACTCTGCCTTCTAATAAATACACAGTATTGCTATCTCAATCTACAGTAACTCAATAAAAAGAGAGAACTGAGGAATCAGGCATATATAACTGCAGGGCAGACAATTTGTCTGTAATGTTGCTCAACTTTTTTCCTGTAATGAATATTTCTAAAACCAATTGTGGCTTCTGCAAAGGGAAATATTGTGTCATTTGAAGGGGGGGGAGTATCTAGGAAGCAAGGAAGAATGAAATTCCCATCAGTTATGATGATGAGATTGTCCAATAAAGCAGTTAAAAGCACCACTAAAAATAAATTGCTTGGAGCAAGATACGGATTGCCAGAGACTGGTTTAGAGGCAAGACAAATAATACCATTGGCAGACCACAAAACAAGGCTCACTTGTACCAGCTCTAGGAGCGCTTCACTAAATAGAAGATGTCCCTGGAGCAGGATTTGTTCTGAAGGGCTTTTTAAAGGCTGACAAATCTAACTTTATTATCTCTTTCTTCAATTGAACAAAACACCTCCTGGAAAAACAGAGCACGGCTTTGTGTTTGTATTATGCATAGCAGAAATAAGTTATTTGCCACAGTTAAGCATGGATAAGGAGTCAAACAGTTGTTTGGCGTGTCCTTTCCTTGCCATCATAGTCCTGCTGGCAACATTGTAAACCCAGGTTTTCTAATTAATTGTAATCTGGTGGGAGACGCTGGGTTCACTTTTCCAAGTGCAAGGGAAATGTGGATGGTGGACGATGCTGGGCAGTGTCAAAAGGCTGGACCTTCTGGACCTCCTGTAGCTTAGCCTGTACCATAACATGCTATCCTGAGCTCTCCACGTACCTTGTGGGCTAGCAGCGTGCTGGGCTGTAGCGGGAGGAACCCAGCCAGCAGATCAGGGGAAGGTGGTATTGCCCATTAGGTATCATTCATGAGAACCTGGAATACTCTGTCCAGTTTTACTCCAGGCAGAGGTTGAAATAGTCGTTCAGATGAGATATAAAGAAAAAAGTTATCACTGTGCAGGCGATTAAGGATTGTACCAGCGGTCCAGAGGGGCTGTGCAATGTCCATCCTTGGAATTTTTCAAGACACAACTGGACAAAAGCCTGAGCAACCTGGTCTGTAGTCAGCTTTGATCCTGCTTGAGTAGCAGGTTGGACTAGACGTGTCCCAAGGTCCCTTCCAGCCTTCTTGGTTCTGTGTTTCTGTGCTTATAATAACCCTGAGGAGATAATGTTAGTAATTTCCTAGGCCATCCCGGTGAAATACATACAGCATTTGCCACTGACTGAGCATCAGCTGACGACAAACCAGGTCTGTACAGTTGTGCAATGTTGAGCTTGCAAAGACAACGGCCTCTGTAATTAATGAGCAGAGGTGGGCCAGATTTTGAAACTTGGTTTCCACTGGGATCTTGCATCTGTGAGTCGAGATGAGAAGCTTGATAATTGGTTGCTCTCCTCTCTTGTGGAGAATACTGAGCTATGTGCTTTGGTGGTGGTTTGCTAGTCATTGGTGCCTTCTGGGGAAATCTGAGTCATAGACATAACACCGTGCTGCGTTCCTGTATTCTTATATCAGAAACTTTTTAGCATGAAAGTAGCTAGCCGTTCTTGGAGTTAGGAACCAGTGTAGCTCTCGGCAAGCTGAACGCCCCTTACATCTAGGGGTACCCTGCTTGCATAAAGCATCTGATGTTGTCCTCTGCAGCATACTGGGGATTTTACACAGGACGGCTCAGCAATTTCGGGTAGCCAATTTGGTGAACACAATGTGATGTTCACTTGTCACTGACAGCATGACTGTGACATTTTTCCTTACTAAACAAAGTTTGCTGCTGCTAAAAAGGTTACTGTTAAGTTTGATTAAATAGCTATTAGGGAAAAGAGAAATATTCTCCAATTTATCTGAGAGATACTCCTGAGTAGCAAAGGAAGATAATAATTGCTGTAGTGTAGGTAGAGGGTATGAATCATGCTTTAGAGAGTAAGCCAATGGTGCATATTCTCTGAAGAATCCATGCAACGGCTCCCGGCTGCACAGTTCATTATTATGAACTCAATAGACATGTGAAAGAGTCCATTTATCTGGTAAATTTTTTTTTTTCCCCCCACACAGGCTATTAACCAGGCAGGAGCTGGACCCTACAGTGACCTGGTAACCTGCAGAATCCCCGCATCTGTGCCTGACGCAGTCTCTACCCTCTCCGTGCTGGAGGATGAGCACATGGATGCCTATCAGCTCTCACCCTCGGTGTGCCTTGTACTCAACTGGGAAGAACCATGCAATAACGGAGCCGAGATTACGTCGTACAACATAGACCTGGGCGACATCAGCATTCCAGTAGGAAATGTTACAACTTACGTTATCGATGATTTGCTTCCAGAAACCTCATACCGGTGAGTACAATTGGGTTTTATGTGGTACAGAGCACATATCACGCAGCTTAATTTTATAGAAGAAATGTTTAGGGCATGTAGAGCGAGTAAAAAAATAAACCAAACAAAACCAACAACCAACCTAGGGAGCATAGAAATCTGCAGTAATTCCTTTATGGAATGAATTGCGGTATTGCTTTCTCCCTGCTTTTTTCCTCTTTCTCCTCTCCTTGCATTATCTCTGACCTCTCCTTCTATTTAAGTTGCTCTGCTAAGGTCAGGTTACGCTGGTAGGTAAATAAATTTTAAAAAATGGGAAATAACTAAAATTACAATGCGACATTTCGTGGGTTTTTCGGATGGTTAGCTGTACTATTCCAAGGGTTTATATTATTAACTGTATTGATCCCTGTGAGGGGATAGCAATTTGCACACAATGAACTTTTATTTGTATAGCTACAGCTATTCTTTTGTTTCTAGCATAGAGAGATTAATTAAAAGATAATCTGAATTTAAAAACAATTTCTTTATATTGTTTCAGAGTTGAAATTTCTGAGTGACATTGCCAAAATTTTATTATTATTTTAATGTTTAGGTTTATATGTTTTTTCCCTAATTGCTAATTAAAAAAAAGGTTCCATGCAGGCAATGAACAGCAATACAGCAGATGATGTGACAAAAGAAATTCTATTTTAAGTACTGTTCTAATAAAAACTGAAATCTGATTGCACAGTTGTAAAATTAGACATGGCATAGACCTTCTGTACTGTTTCTCTTTTTTTCTTTGCATTCAAGGTCACAATCCTACAGGCCTTGTAGAGTTTAAATGAAAAGTTCATTTCTCAAATTTTATCTTGTAACAAAAAAAAGAGAACTTTTTGTAGCAAGTATACAAATATGTATACCAAAAGTTATTTAAAGGGAGGAACATTGCTTGCAGTGCTTCCTGATCTTTGCCTAGAATATCTAGGTTTTTAAACCATGTAATAAAAAATAAAGATGTAGATTTAATAAAAAAAATATATATGCCTCTGGTAATCTGAAAGAAAAGAAGGTGAAATAGGAATTAAGTGATTCAGAACCCCTCCATTCCAGATCGCTCATGTAAATCCAGGAAATATGACTACCTTATTGCTGTCTCCAGTTCTTTGGTGGCTTGTAATGGATCCTTTGTGGCAAAAGCAGTAACGAAATACAGGCTTTTTCTTGTCTTCTGTTTCAGATCCGACTTCTGTGGTCAATTTAAGCTAGCTTTGCTGTCAAAGGAAGCCTCTTCCTTCCTTCCTTGTGTTGTCCCCTCTTTTGTGCCAGCAAAGTGCTGTCACACCATTCCAGATTGGGGAAACTGGTCTCGTTGACAACTAACCATATTTTTTACGTTGCAAATGGGTAGAGAGAAAGCTAGTTTAAGGTATTTGTGAAAATACTGTCCATGAGTAAAGCTGCACAAGGGTTTGAGCCAATTCAGGGTGCTGTTGTCATGCTTCTGACCTCCCTCCATCTCCACCTTCTCCCACGTTTCTCACTCTGCCTTGTGTCAGCACTGATGCTTATGTGATCTTACTCTAAGCCAGACCAGGGAATCTAACTTGTTCAAGACTAATCAAAAACCTAATAAAACTAATAAGAAGTTGAAAGTTTGTCTATTGACTGGCTACCCAGCTGTGGAACTGCATCTTCTTGGGCAGTCTCGTACTCCCTGGTTTCTCCTCAGATGTTCAATCAAGAGTCAAAACAGTTAAAGCAAAATGAGAGCTTTGAGCAACGTGGTCAAGACAGCCGGAATGGACCATCAGAATTCTTCACTGAAGTCTTCCTTCTTCAGTCTTTTTTGTAGCTGGTTCTTGGTTGTCTACAGCTTCCTTTAGGGAAACGTCCTTGTCCTCAAAGCTTGGAAATGGTGATATGGAATGAAAGGATGGGCAGGACATTACTCTTCTTTATAATCATGCTGCAGTCTTGTCCATGAAGCTCTTACTCCTGCTACCATGAAAAGTGTTGTGAGATCATAGTGGATTATTTTTTTTCATTCTTATTTCATTATTTTATAAAAAGCGCCATATTAAATCACATATTTTGGGTCAGGGAGCCTGCTTGTCTCTGATCCAAATGAAGAGGCTAAAGCACAAGAATTCACTGCAACTGTTCTAAATATTGTTGTAAGACAAAGTTTCTACAAAAAAAAAATATTGTAAAGAGCACAAACCAGTGGACGACTAATCAGACATAGTAATATATGAAAGCTCTCTTCTTTAATAAAGCAAGAGAAAGAAACCCCCAAACCTTGCATCTCATGACTGTCAGGGAAGACAAGTGACTGAAGTTGAGTTGCAAAAGCACCTCGTCTATAGTTTGAGGTATTTTTCTGCTAATAAAAATAGACATGTCAATGTGTTTTTGCTATCGATCCTTAACTCTTTCATAGATATTTCTTCTTCAAGCCTATCTTGATACTTGTCTTTCATCAGGGAATGTTTGTGCCTTGATAAATGTATCCGTAAGAAACACGTTTATCAGGCTGTATGCTAAGAGGTGGTGGGGTTTTGCCTTCCCTGTTTTAATCAGAAAAGTGTTTCAGAACATCACTGATCTCCTCCTCCAAATTTGTTGACCATTGTTTTTTCTTTTCGTGTCAACTTTGTTTAACTCAACTAGCTCTTCTGTCTCTTGAAGTGTTTATTCCATGCTGCATTTAAAAGCAGTGAATGTGTTTTCTTCCAGGCTGTGTTTTCCCTAGACTAAACAAGCCAGACACTACTGGGTTTGAGACTCTGAACTCTCTTGCTAAAGTTTCAGCAGAATTTGCAGTAAATCAGCAAAGGGCTTATAAGTTTTAGTTGCGTTGGAATTTCACTGTGAATGTTTTGGTTTGTGAGAACCCGAAATTGAAAGCAAATCTTGGTTATTATGAATCCACCAAGTCCAAGATGGGAAAGGAACGTTGTTTTGCATAGCAGTGGGATTCTAACAGCATGGCTACGTGTGTCCACCCCGTTGGACGTGTTAGCTTGGGTCTGGCATTGCTCTGCTGCTTCCAGCTTGTGTGTGGGAACAGACATACACGTATACTCAAGGATACACCGAGCAAGCTCCGGGCTCTACGCGGAGGTGGGCTCAAAGCAGACAGGTTTGATGTTTTCTGTGTCTTAGTAGCAAATCCAGCCAGCATGCCACAGGAAGGATTTGCATCCCAAAATACATTCAAGGCAGGAGGACCTGCCATGCAGCTAATGGCCAGTATAGGGCTGATTTCAAGAGGACTTCTCCAACCTCAGGTGCAGAGCAGCAACACTAGCAGTCTTGCAAAAAGCAGGTGCCTCGCAAAGGCACTATGTAAACATCGACATCGCTGCTGGTGAGCAGCTGCAGAAACGTGTCTGAGAGTTCTGCAGTCTCCATTTTATTGACGTAGCCATGAAGCTCTGGAAGCTCCGATTATAGGGTAATAATACTTGGACTGGTTTTCTGTGAACTGATGTAACTAGAAGCGAGTTAATAAATATTCCACAATAAATAAGTATTCAACAGTAATAGATATACCAATTTTCTGTTACGTTCTGTTCCCAAGCTTTGCTCAATGCTTTCTATAGTTAGTTGTGCTGTGCTGTTGAGATGCAAAACTGCAAAACAACTTCCGATTTTTAAGAATGCTTATTTTCTTCTGAAGTTACACAGTTTACAGAAATACGTAGTAGCCTTATTAAATTTTAATAGCAACACTTCATTTTAATTTGATTTAGGAGTAAGAATTCTAGACACTTGAAATTTCTAAACTGTATCGAGGAAAAGATCTTCCAAGATCAAGAGAGAAGAATGCACGTGGATGTTCAAGTTAGCAATGCTTAAAATGGGTTATAAAACAGAATCTATGCTTCAGAGTGTAAAACTAAGTCTTGTTCCAGCCCCAGAAGAGTGCGGTCTGAGGGGGGATCTGTGGGGCTGTGTGATTACCACCCATTCCTACGGTCAGACTGGTGCTGATGGTGGAGCAAGCTGCTTCTTCTCCCTTTTGAAGTCCGTGGCATTTTAACTCCCACAGGTTTCCACAGACGCGTGTCTTGCAACTGGTGGCATTCTACTTACGGGAACTAGCAAATCAAACTCTTCTCATGGCAGAATGTCTAAGATGAATTCAAAAGTGATTTTTCAGTTTGTTGGAATACTATACAAAGGATTTTGTGACCGATCTGAAAATAACATCCTGTTTAGTGTGTTTATTTTCCTGGGTCAAGAATCTTATAAGATAGAATGGTCTGTTAAAGATCTTTTAATGGTTTCTAAATTTTGCCTAGTCTGATTTATTTTTTTTCTAACTGTTTAAAAGATGCAGTGGGAAAATGTGAGAATGAATACAATTATTATTGGTCCATGGTTTGCAGAATGAGGTACTATCCCTAAATATAGTCTAAACATTTTGAAAAAAACTTACTTTCAAATTGTGATTGTCAGATTTTAAAACCCTGTTTCCAAGAGGGCATTTGGGGTATTTGAACTTAGAAACCATTAGTGAAAAAGTCAAAAGGAATTCAGGAAGTGGTTTTATTGCAAGTATTTCTACATGTGTATACACTACTTTTACACAAAAATAAAGAATTGATTTTCACCGGTATCAGTTCTGTAAGCAGTAATTGGTTTCCACTTAATTGCGGAAGGTCTCTGCCGCTGTGGCAGTGCCACCCAGCTGGAGGAGCTCAGAGTGCCGCGGGCTGGGGCAGGGACGCGAGAACGCGCCTGAGCTGGAGCAAAGATGCTGTGGTACAAAGTGTCCTCCCGCCGCCGTGTGCTCTCCCTCCTCTTCCTCCTTTCTCCCCTTTCTTTTTCCCTTCTTCCTTCTCGCCTTCCCTCTGGACATTTCCCAAGCATAATCTCCATTGAGGAGACGCTGCTGTGGTTCGGAGGGACGCAAGGGCTGGGTCTGGGTTACGCTGCCGTGTGCACGTAGAACCACACCTAGTTGTTTGTGCGTGGCTGACAAAGCTCGGGACCGGGGAGCGGTAGTGGGAATTCACAAAGAGTGTTGTGGTGGTGTAATGAGCAGAAAAAGGGTAGCCACATCCAGGCACGTTACAGTCAAATAGATCAGTTCTTGCTTTCCCAATATCATCGTTCATCTGGAAAGATGCCTGCCTCTATTTTAAGGCTTAAGAGTTTCCATCAGTCTTACTGTGCTCCCAAGTCAGAAGGGGGGGGCAGGGTGTGTGTTTGTGTGTCGGAAGGTGGGAGCAAGAACACCGTGCAGCAGATGAAAGCCACAGCAGATGGGAGAAGAGGAAGAGGCGTTTTTACCTCATGTGAACACAGTGCATTCTTACAGTGGGCAATTACTTTAGTTGCCTAATCAGTAGATAAGGCTCTATCATTTTACAATATGTTTATTTGTCATTTAACCCTTTTTGTTCTTGAAATTGCAGAAAATATGGTGTGGGTGTTTTTCTTTTAATGGGGAATATTGTTCTCTGGAGGGTTTTTTCCGTATCCCTTTGACTCTGCCTAATCTTTTTCTAATGGTAGAGCTGAAAACTCGCTGTTCAAAGTAATTTTTCATACGTTGTTTATATGAACTTACATCACTTTGTGTAGTTCAATCAAAATAAGTAGCTATGGCAGCCGAAGACAGTTCTCTTTATCTTCTGCTTTCTCTGAGGCAGATAGTCGTAGGGGTACACCGGGTTCTACTCTTCTCCCTTCTCCCCACCACCTTCCCCAGGGACTTGTGGCTTTCTTGGTGCCTGATAGTTTTGGGAAGCAGCAACACTTCTTGTAGAGTGTCTCTCCCTATGAGAAGATACTAGGCTGCTGTGCACAGGATTTCCAAAGTAAATGCCAGCTGTCCAGCTATCTAAGGTAGGCTGAACTATCTAAAAAACCTAATTAGTTTGCCCATCCTGTTTTCTCTTATTTTCACTTTGATTTAACAAACTTTTGAAACCTTTCAGGCTGGTCTGTACCAATGTTCCTATTTACACAGTCCTCCGTGCTCTTTCGAAATGCCTATTTCACATGTTTGTAAGGATGTTGTTGTTGATGTTACCATAGTAAAAGGCTACTATCTTCACTCATTCCTGTAAGCAGATTCTCATTGTGCAAATTATGAAATTAAGGTGCAGACAGATAAGAAAAATTGACAAAGCAGAAGCCAGGAGTCATTATCCTAGGAAAGAAATAGGATTTAGAAGACTGGCTCAGTCTTAAGAATATTTCCGAACTAAGGCTTCTGTGACTAGATAGGAATGTGGAGATGGGTTTCATGGCAGTGACACCAATGCTTCCACTTAATGATTTCACCTAAATTAGTCCATGACCTTTGTTAGACAACCCCAACATGCTTCTGTATTTTATTTATTCATAGTTACAAAGTTCATGTTTTCCAGGTTGCTCTTGTATCTGTGCTGCTGTCCCTTGTTCGTGCGGTTAGAGGCACTGTCGTCAGGTTCTGAGAGTGCGCACCCAAATCTTCCCCCCTCTGCCTTATTGCATTTCTTGATATCTTCACCGCGGCTCTTGCGATACGAACAGGATGATAGTACTTGTTATGTTTACAGAGCCGTTCACTTTGCCAAAGCACAGCACTGGGAGCAGGCACTATGTTAGTGATGGAGCAGTCAAGTCCCAAAGGCTGTTTTGTTTCTTGAGACATTTTTATACCAAGAACCTCGTGAAAGCACTTTATTTAACACTTTTTTTGTCGTTGATTTTAGGATCAGGATCCAGGCTGTCAATGAAATTGGAGCTGGACCGTTTAGCCACTTTATTAAAGCAAAAACCAGACCGTTACCACCCTTACCTCCTCGGTTAGAGTGTGCTGCAGCAGGTCCTCAGAGCCTGAAGCTGAAATGGGGAGACAGCAGTTCCAAGCTGCACACTACCGACGACATGGTCTACATCTTGCAGATAGAAGACAGAAATAAAAGGTAAGAGAGAGATGAGTCTTTTCCATGAATTAATGAAAATGAATTCTGGTTCATCATAATGCAGTTGTGGATCACGGTAAGAAAAATGTTGTTTTCATGATTACTTTGTACCTATAAGTACATACAAAATATTGTTTTAATAGGGGTTCTGTGCATGTAGTCTAACCGAGCAAATCACGTAACAAAGCTTTTGAAATTATTATAGAACAACCAAAATCAATGCTGCACTGTTGAAATTTTAGCAAAATCCCAGCCCCTCTGCCAATAAAAGTTAATACCAAGTTTCATGACCATAGTGCTGTGCTTTACCCTTTGGAATCTACAAAACGAAGATACTGCACCCAATGTGTGTGTATTAATAAAACAAATGGTTACAAAATCAGAGGTCTAGGAAAGGCAAAACTAAGCAGCACGAAGGTTTTTGGGCAACGTGATGGTTGGGATTTTACAGCTGTAAAAGTTTGGAGCATTAGAAAATACGAGCTTGGCATCAGCTTGGTAGCTACACAATGATTACGAAATAAGAATGCAGAAGAGCTCATTCACCGTGTTTCACTTCCCTAAAATTTTCCTCAAAGCCATGAGAGCTTTCGGTGTACAAGAAATACAAAAATGAACATGAAACAGTGCTCAGCAAAAAATATTTTCCCATGCAGACTTTGCATAATAACATTCGATAATGTAGCTCCAAAGTTCTGATGAGATATATATTCAGTAAAAAAAAGGGAATGAAAGAAAGACAATGTGTGAGTATTGCCTAACAGTCTGAGTTCTTCAATGAATAAATATCATAGATGGCTCATAATTTACTAAGAAACACTCTCAACTATTTAATTAGGTAAAGTAACTGATGTATCAAGTAGATAATCCTTAGAGACCTTCAGTACAGATCATAATTCGCTGTAAATTAGCATGATTCCTTTAATTTAAATAGAGCTGTGCTGAGTTTATGCCAGCTGAAGATCTGGCCCAAGAGCTCTAATTGTAAATAATAAAACCACCATGAATAATGCCTAAATACCACCCAGTGTCTCAACTATACTGATGCAGAGAGGGTACATGCTCCCCTGTATTAATACTGAGAGGTGTCCAATGAATATAAATGCCTATTTGAAAGCCTGACTGATGAAAACAGTTTCTTCAGAGTGCAATGATGCTTGGCAGGAGCCCATCACCTGCAGCAGCATGTGATCGAGTCAGCTCTAAAGAAACATCTAGCAGGTTTCTTTTGTTTGCTTTCATGTAGCACTGCAGGTAGGATGGTGAAGAACTGTAAATTGTTTTAAACCTGTTTTTATGTTGGAGGAAATAGTAAGTTTCCTTGTAAGAATAAAATACGTTATGTTACCTGGCAGCAGAGAAGGAAAGATTTTTCCCCTTTGCTTTTGCGCAAGGCTTTAGCATCATCCTTTGCTTTTGCACAAATGTTTCCCACTGCAAATGGTCTCTTAAGAGCTGTTAATTAGGAGGACTATTACTTTGCTAGGTCATCTTAGCTTGAAATTTGGCTTAGAGTCCACGCGAGCTCCCAAAGATGCAGGGAGACTACTCATCTACATTCCGCTGTCTCCTCCTGCTTGAACGGAGTCCTTGCACGGAATGGCCTCCTTTGCTGGTTGAGTTTGTAGCATTTAGTTCGGATAACACCTGAGATGAGCCGGAGCCCTGCGGCTGATGAAGTGCGTACCGGTGTGGGCACAGTAGAGCAGGAGAACGGGTGCACTGTTGTCTGTGGCGGGCGCTGTGCCTGAGAACAGTTGGAGCTGGCAGGTCTTGGCGATAAGATCTATTTATTTGTTCTCTGACAGTCCTTTTTTTGCTTCCCATTGTGTGCATTGATCACAGTGAGAGATGTTCCTGAAAGGATACAGCGGCAAAGTTCTGTATGTTCAGGAGAGCTATCATTCCTAATGAACAGAGAATGACAGCCCACATGCGAATTGGTAGAAACAGCAGTTAGTTACAGAGGTAGGAGTCCTCTCTTAGATCATTCCCGTAAAATAAACCCCATCGTGACTGAGGCGTTGCTCACTCATGTGTTGGATTATGGTTCTTTGAGCATCACTGGCCTCTTTAATTGCACAGGGCTTTAACAGACTCATGCAGGTAAACTGGGGACATCTAATGGGATAATTAAATAGAATAGAATATTTCAGTTGGAAGGGACCTACAGTGATCATCTAGTCCAACTGCCTGACCAATTCAGGGCTGACCAAAAGCTGAAGCGTGTTATTGAGGGCATTGTCCAAATGCTTCTTAAACATTGTCAGGCTTGGGGCATCGACCACCTCTTTAGGAAGCCAGTCTCTGGTGAAAAAATGACACTGAATAAATGATCTAGGAGGATGTTTTGGAGTCTTTTATGGTTTGAAAGGGTTGTAGGGAGATTGCGTGATGTCCCCTCTGTTGAGAGAAGAGATAGCACCTGACTTGGGGGAAGAGGCTGTAATATAAACATGGATAACTCAAAATTTACATCTGTCATTTCCTTAGTCTTTCAGAAGATATTGTTACTGTATTCCCTGAGACACCTGAAATTGCTTTTAACAGCTTTATATTGAAATCCCTCAACTCAATATTACAATTTTCCCTTCTTCAGTGAATCTGAGCATGCAGTTTGCTTACTGATGAGGGTCACAATAGGGGTTAGCTTTAAATGCCAGTGAACCATTTTCACCAACAGAAATATAAAGATGAGCAAATTCTTTTAAAAAAAGAAAATTGTCGGTAAGTCAAATTCTGACCCTGTTAGCTTTAATGGCCTTTTCCTAAAGATTCAGCTCCGGTTCTGTGCAGTGATAGTCAGCCAGTGCTCTTGAATGTGTTCTGGTCATTAAGAATTGTTTTTTAACTTTTCCATGCCGTAATGAGGTGTAACAGGCCAGTTGTTGGAGACTAAATGTTTCATTGATTGCAAGACCTGTGAAACAAAATACTTGGAAATCTCCTGACACTGATTAATGTAGGGGCTTGAAAAGGTGTGCGAATCAGAAATGTACCTGCTTTAGCTCTCATTTGCTCTTCAGTGTGTGACATTTAGGAAGATCAAATTAGCATCTCTTGTCCTTTCAATTATGTGTAGCGTTAAGTGGAGAGGAAGAAAAATCTGTTTCTGGAAAGCACAGTACATGGGAACGTTAGTTAAGAGTAGTTGACCTTTGTGTAAAGAGGACCATAAAATTCTTTCTTTTTAAATAAACTATCAGTTGCGACTTTATTTCTTAACTCTATTACTATCAAGACAATCATGTTAATCAAGTTGCACATTTTCCAGAGTACTGTGGATTTTTCCTCTCATAGTGAAACAAATGAACCTAATTTATTATAATGCTTTTGGTTTGGTTTTTTTTTCTGTGCTGGTAATTAGTCCAGTTGTTTCTACTACTAATTATACCTCCTAGTGTCTTAAAATGCTTACAGTATCCAGTCTGAAAGAGAGAATTAGCAAGTACATTATTAGTGGGTCGTTTATCATTTGCCTGTGTTTCGTTTAGATGAATAAATGTTGCAGTTAAGATGAATTCTGGGATTTTTGTGTGTAAACAGACTCCAAATAAAAATAAATATAATTATATTTTTAAGGGAGAATCGTTGGTAAGGCTAGCTGTGAAGCAGCCTATATGTATTCTTTAAAAATATCAGTGAAGGATCATTGACAATTCTTAAGTGTGGGTGTTGGTCTCTTCTCCCAAGTAGCTTGTGATAGGATGAGAGGAGATGGCTTCAAGTTGCATCAGGTGAGGTTTAGACTGGGTATTAGGAGAAATTTCTTCACCAAAAGAGTGGTCAAGCATTGGAACAGGCTGCCGAGAGAGATGGTGGAGTCACCATCCCTGGAGGTGTTCAGAAAATATGTAGACGTGGCACTTTGGGACATGATTTAGTAGACGTGGTGGTGTTGTGTTGACAGTTGGACTTGATGATCTTAGAGGTCTTTTCCAACCTTAATGATTCTATGATTCTAATAAGTCTGCTTTTGTAAGTGAATTGCAAGAGATTGTGTTTACTGGCATTCTAAACTCTTAATTGCTTTTGTTATGGTTATTTACTGAATAAATGAGTTACGACCCCATATCGCTGGGTAAACAGTAGTAGTATTTCCCTTTCATAGCCTGTGAAAGATTATTTATGTAAGTATTAAACTGTTTTAAAATTCTTTGCTAAACTATGTCTGCTTTCCATTTAAGGAGCTATTGTTCTTCAATATAAATGAAAAATTGATTGCAAAATAGAACTTGCCTAATGACTGTAAATGTTAATTGGGTGCAGTCATTGTGCGCACACTGTTTTTCTGATTAGGATATGAATGTCCCAAAGGCCATAGGCATACATCGATGGAAACTTCTAGCGACTCCAAGGAAGGAATCACATTTGTAACCAAATGGCATAATCCCTTGAATTGATTTCTTCTACTTGGAGAATTTTCCCTTAACTTGAATATTTATTTCAGGAGACATCACCCCTCACATTCCTCATCCCAGGAGCGCCTGTTACCATGGTGCAGGTGGAGAGGGCATCAGGGCTGTAGGTGTGGTAGGCACTCGGTTGCCTTCAGGTTGTCTTTCCCTGCTCCTGTTGTGAGTGGAGCCTTTAGAGCCTGAATGTGAACAGGGGAGACGTGCAAGTTCTCCCTGGCGTCCAAAGGAGATGTAGTGTCCATCCGTTTCCGTGCCTGCTGACCCCGGTGTTAGTGATGCTCCTGGCAGTACTGTCTTTTTCAGTTGCATGGTGAGCCGTTTTCACTGTTCATAGAAAGCCTAGAAGTAAAAGAGAAAAGTATGTTATAAAAATCTATGCCAATATTTTCCAAGGTGAGAGGAACCAAAAAGCACTTGTTGGGGGTGGCTTCCAAGGAAAATTAAAACGTGCTTTGAACAGTAAACAGTAAAGCCAGGCAGCGATGCAGATGGGCTCATTTTTTCTGCAGAAAGATTCAGTTTTAGGAAGCTCCTAGCTCTTCCAGTGATTCTCCTACCCTTCTGTCCTCTTCACCCGGTGGT